TCCGCCCGCTTCTCCGTGATGCGCAGCAGCTCAATCTGTCGGCTGGGCAGGACGAAGTCGCTGTCGTAGAGCTCGGGGGGTGGCCGGGGCTCCTCCGGTGGTGGTGGCGGCAGTGGTGGGGTCTTGAGCTCGTGGGTCTGCAGGACATCCGGGGCACTGTCCCGCAGGGTGCGGGCGACTCTCCGGCTGCAGCACTCGGGCCCCGTGGAGGAGTACACCAGGTCAAGCTCCTTTGGGCTCTGGGCCCTGCTGGAGTCGTAGTCGCTGTCGGTGGCCAGGAACACCTCTGAGGAGCCCTCTTCATCCGACAGCCCATGCAAGTCTGAGAGGCACATAAGAGAAGCAGAGAGGGGCTCAGCCTTGCTATCAGCAACCCCAGCTGAGGGTTCGCACCAGACGGAGTCCAAGGAAGCCCCTGAGCGTTTACCCCCTTGCCATACACCCGTGCTGCGCTCACCAAGGAACAGGTAGAGCAGGTCTTGCCCGAGATCAACTGCCCTGCCTGTACTCCTGATGGTGGCCCCTGCCTGCACCCCCATAGTGCAGCCAGCCAGAGCAGCAGTCCTGGGCCCCCGGAGCATGGGCTGCACCCTGAGCCCACCCGGCAGGAGCTTTGCAAAGCGGGGCCCTTACCGGAGTTAAGCTTACGGCTGGTCTCTGGCGAGGGCGCTGGGGACGGAAGGTAGTCGAGGTGGGATGAGGTGGATTGGGTTTTCTCCTTCATTGCACCGCCAGCCTCGCTGAGGAAGCCGCTGAGAGACACGCCGCAGGAGGGCTGCTTGTACCGGGCGTGTTGCAGGGCATCCATGATCCAGCGCATCTCACGCCAGATCTCCTCCATTTGCTGCCAAAATAGGAAACCGAGGGCGCTGGGGACGGAAGGTAGTCGAGGTGGGATGAGGTGGATTGGGTTTTCTCCTTCATTGCACCGCCAGCCTCGCTGAGGAAGCCGCTGAGAGACACGCCGCAGGAGGGCTGCTTGTACCGGGCGTGTTGCAGGGCATCCATGATCCAGCGCATCTCACGCCAGATCTCCTCCATTTGCTGCCAAAATAGGAAACGAAGGATTCCTTTCAAAAAGCAAACAGCAGCAACAAAAAAGCCCCACAGCCTCCCCTCACACACCTTTCCCAAAAGGCAAAAGCTTCCAGGAATCCCTGAGTCAGGAAATCCCAAGAAAGTCCTCTCAGGTGGGGGAGATGCTGCTTCAACCACCCGCAGCTGCCGGTTCAGCCGGACCTGCCTGCTGCAGGACACGGGGCGTGGCGTTTCAGCAGGGCCTGCCTGCTGCAGGCAACGGTGCTGGGAAAGGGGGTAGCATTGGGTGCTCTTTCGCGTGTCCAGGCCCTTCTCTAGCCAGGTGGGGACTGGCAGAGCAGGAATCTCCAGCTCTCTAATCAGGACTTTTAATGTGATCATTGCAGTAAGCAGTTGCTAGACTGCTGCTGCCTGTCTGCCACATCAGGGAAATCCTGTGGGGTCACAGCTGGGAACATGAGAGGACAGCCCTGCTGGGGATGCTCCTGTAGATTGTCCAGGGCATGACTGTCCTGGCCACTTCCTGTGGGCACCGTTGAGCCTGGCTCCCTCCCAGCTCCGTGTACCTGGATGTAGTCCTGGACCTGCTGGTGCCTCTGCTTGGCGGTGGAGAGCTCAGCATCAGAGAAGGCCTCCCTGAGGCTCTGCTGAGAGAGGAGCGACTCCAGCTCCAGGAGGGCGGACACCTGGCAGTACTGGGTGATGAATTCCCGGTCATATGTGAAGAAGTGGACTGGGAAGGGAACGAAAATTATCAGGTCCCTTGCTGTGGATGCCCTACGGGCTCCTCTGCACTCACCCAATGCAGGGAGGAAGCAACACTCTCCCCTAGCCCACCTAGAGAGCCCTCAGCATCCCTCTCCATCCCTCCTCTTCTGAGGAAGATGAGGGAGATCCAGCCCACCTCACTGCCCATCCCAGCTCTTGGGACGTCTCAGAGGGCAAGGAGACTGGCAGAGATGGGTTTTGGCATCCCCGCTTCTCACCAAGCTCAAAGATCTGCAGTGGCAGCGTGAGGAAGCCAGAGCGAGGGGTGTAGGGGTTGTTCTGGCCCGGAGCAGTGCAGACATCATCTGATGGAGGCAGCAGCAGCAGGAAGGAGACCTGGCCTCCAAAGTCCAGCACCTCTTGACTGTACAGACGGAAATCTTTGGCCTGTAAGAAGACACAGCAGGTAATGGCTGCAAACATCAACATGAACTTTGCTGTGTCTGGGGGAAGTGGCTTCAAGCATGTCTACTCATGACGGCGGAGGAGTCCTCAGGGATCACCTACAGCCAGGGGACAGTGCTGTTTCAGCACACAGCTAAAGGCTCCTTGCTTCTGGCATAATCTGCCCACCTCCCTTTCGCTTTTATGCCTCCTAAAAGTCTCTAAACTGCTAGTCAACGTCACAACATCAGGGTCTCAGAGGAGAAGTGCCACCAGCAATGGTCTCAGCCCTGCTCTGAGAGGTGCCCTCACAGCCACCCGGTCAGAAGCACATGCCTGGCACCGGGGCTGGTGGGAACCTTCCCAGCAAATATTTGGCATGGTGGAGGAGGGATTTCTCTCCATGCAGTCTGGCCCAGGGGGCTGCAGCCAATGGCCAGGGATCATCCGGCTGTGGTGGGGCAGAGTTGGGCTGGTCTCAAGCTGCAAGGGCTGAACCCAGGACCAAACCACACGGTAGGCAATAATGCAAACCCAGATTCACTATCCTTGCTCTGGAGGTAGAGGTAAGTGACAAGCAGCTCCTGTGGACACTGTCCCTGGGCAGGCAGATGCTGCAGATGCTGGTTGATTATCACTTGCCTTCTATTTGCACAGGACTAAAATGTGATCAATGCTTCAAGCCCCCAAAGAGGGGCCAGGGGCTGCGGTACCCTGCATGCTACGGTGACCAGAACGGTACTGCACTGCTTCTTCCCTTTCCCCCTCCCCAGACATCAGCACCTGTCCGTACCTCTTGCAACGGGATGTTGACCAGAGTCATCAGCTCCTTGATGGCCACTTGGAGCTCCTGAAACAAGTGGTTCCGGGGGGTGTCAGCCTCTGGCTCCACAGGAATGGGCTCCTCCACACTGGCCATCTTCTGCAGCCATTCCCACTCCTCCCTGGAGAAGGAAGAAACAGACATGTGCAGGAGGGAGCAGCTCGGCGTGGACCTAAAGCACAGTCACTGTGAGAGCTGTGTTTGCTTGGCTGTTCCTCCGCAGACAGTGCAGCACTTGAGAGATGTGAGAGGTGTGGAGGCAGAGGGGAACTTTCGTTTGCTCCAGTTCCAGGCTGCCCTGCATGGCAGGCAGCGGGGCTGAGAGGGAATATTACGCTGCTGCCAGGAGCCCGAGAGCGGAGCGGGAAGTGATGGGTGCTCTCAGGCTGCACGAGGCAGAGGAGCATGGCTGCCCCGGGTGAGCTGCCCTGCAAGACCCACCTGGAGATGTTGGGGTTGGAGCGAATCTTGACGTGGCACAGGATGTTGGGGAGCTGCTCCGGCACCAGCACTCGGATCTGATCCACGGCGCTGCAGAGCTTCAAGTAGCCCAGGTAGAGGCCCGAGGAGAGGGCATGGCTGCTCCGCTGGTGGTAAGCCAGCTTGTCCTGAGGAGAAAGGCACTGCTGGACTGAGCAAACCCTCACAGCGGGGCTCTCTCCTGCCCTCGTGTCAGGTGCCACAGCTCAGCCAGTGCAGCCCGCAGAAGGGAAGTGGCAGAGTAAGTACAATCCGGCACCAGCCTGATGCCTCCCCTCGAAGCAACAGGATATTTTCAGGTTGGTTGGGTTCTGTTCCCCCTCCGCCCACAGCCAGGACCGAACCCTGGTGGTCCAGGCTCTGCTGTGGCCTTTCCAGCCCAAGGGGGAGCAGGGAGTGGTGGTGGTCCCGCAGTGGTGCCCACTGCAATCCCCTGCCGCGACGGCACCGGTGCAGCACCTGGACGGAGATCAGCAGTGTGTCCAGAGCGGTGGGCTCCTCTGGGGAGGACACAGACTTGCGGGTGGTCTGCAGCTTGCAGATGGGAACCCAGCGGACACTCTCAAAGGTCTGGTTGGTCTTCACCTCCTTCAGGGTGACGATGAGGATGTTGCCCTGTTTGTCTTTGACGGGCTCAAAGAAGACCTGCCCCAGGTCCTGGATGCCAAGCAACCCCTGTGTAATAGGATGGAAGGGCAGGAGAAAGCAATGGGTCAGGGGACATCCTTGAAGCACAGTGCTCTGTGGGCCTGGGTAGCTGTGACATGACTGGGGGTCTCCCCTCTGCGAGCTGGAAACCAGCCTGCCTGGCAAAACACCCAGTGATATCCCCCAGCCCCTCTGCAGGAGATTGCCATGAAGCCTGACCCCCACTGCCCTACAACTGGGGTCCTGTCAGGGTGGATGAAGCAGGGGCACCTCGTCCCGCTGCTCACCGAGCTGCGGGCAGAACTGGCAGAGCCTGGGGTTTTGCTGGCTGTGGCACAACTGCATCCTGCTCCCAAAGCAGCCTGGCTCACAGTGCCCCCAAAAAGCATTTGCTCCCACCCCAGGCCCACCCTCACCTGCATTTGCGAGATGGCCAGCAGCATCTTGAAGCGTGTCTGCAGGATGCAGGAACAGGACGACTGGGATACGGTGACACACTGCCGCAGCCACAGGATCTCGTCCCACATGCATGACACCTGCAGCACACCAAAGGGCTGTCACCACCGGCCACCGCTGCCTGCAGCAGGGTCACACCGACGTGCTTTGGGGAAATCCATTTGCCTTTCTGTTTGAGCTGGGTTAGGAACGTGCACCTGCACAAACCACCTTTCAGTAGGGGTGCGATTTCCTATGCCACAGACACCCTGAGATGTCACCAGAGCCTGTACCCGAGGGAAGCACCATGCCACGTCCACTCAGATATCTGTCTTCATCTAGGACTGAGACCTTAAGTTTAAGTAGCAGGTAGCCAAGAGAAAGAGGGAGAAGACAGGCTTCTCCCTCAGTAGATAAGCACCCTCCAGCAAAAGATTTTGGCCCTGAGTTGCCCACCTAGCCTTTCACTAAGCCTACTGACAGCGGAGGACCAGGCATCAGCACCCTGCAAGTCCTGCTCCGTACAACAGTCAGAGCTGCCATGGCAGGATGCTGCGGTGAAGCAGTCAAACAGCTGAGAAGATACTGGCATCCCTGTGGAGAGGCAGCGCCCACCCATCACGGCACACAGTCTGCCCAGCGTGGTGCCAGTCCATCACCCAACCTCGGGATTCAGGGGCTGAGTGGAAATGCTGTTCCCTGATGGTTTCTCAGTCCACAGTGAACCCCGGCGAGCAGCATGGCTGTGGGCTGCCTGCGCTGCCAAGGCCCAGCAGGGAAACACACTGCTGCCGTGCTCCAGTGCACGGCACAGGAACCCAGGCCACCCACCTTGGTGAACCAGAGAAAATCTTGCATGAGCAGGCAGGAGTAGGTGTCATCAATCTCCACCACGGGGATCTGGTCTTCATGGGTCACCAGGATGTTGTCATCCTTGTAGAAGATGGCTGTCAGGTAGAGGCCCCTGCACGGGAGAGAAGACAGACTTCAGTGTCACTCCCAGCTGCCAGCTTCGTTTCCCAGAGTCTCTCTCCCGAGGTCAGAGAAGATGCCCTGCCCCAGGTCTCAGCTCCTCTCCAACAGCCCGTGGCAGAAGAGGCACACAGCCAGTGTGCAGGAGCAGGAACCCAATGCTGCCAGCAAGGTGAGTCTGGTCGATGTCATGGCTGGTGCCCCGGCCAGCACAAGGGAGGGTGGTGAGGCCATGCAAGGGCTGCCTGGAGGCCAAGCATGAAGGAGGGCAGTGGGAGGGTGGTGGGTCTAGAGGAGGGTGGGTGTTGGGTGATACTCAGAGATGGTGCAGAGATCAGGGCATAGGCACAGCTTGGTCAGTCCAAATAGAAACACCAAGGAGAAACGCTTGATTTTGACCAGTGGGACTCATCTCTACTGACACCACCAGCTCATTCCAGGCAAGGATTCAGCTCTGAGCACCCCCAGCTCTCAGATTGCACGCACAGCTCCTGGCCATGCCCAGTGCCCCACTGGGAGAGGGGCTCTCCAGCCCCCCGCGCCCCAGCCTCTCACCGCTTCAGGGTCTTGAGAAACTTGCTGCCAGCATGGAAGAGGTGCTTGAGGCTCTTGGAGACCGAGTGCTTCCTGCTCTGGGGCTGGTTCTTGCAGGGCTCTGAGGAGCAGAGAGCAGAGGATGCTGCAGCAGGAGATGAAGAGCTGCACCGGGAGCCTGCGGCATGGCATGCCAACCCGGTGGGAAGGCTCTGCCGAGGTCTCCACTGCCTAAGCTGTCTCCCTGCTATGCTCATCCACAAGACAGACCTACGTCTGGTGCTACCCCAGCCTGGCTGGATGCCCAACCCCAGCCTTCCCACAGCGCCGTACCGTGCACTCACCATGGCAAACACAGTGCTGGTGGACGGTCTTCACCTGGCCCAGCAGATGGTCCAGAGCTTCAGCTTGCCCTCTTCGCCGTGGAGCCCGGCCGTCGTACTCCCGCCAGTCTGTGGAGGACCGACCAGCATCACCCCCAGCACCTGGCCCATTGCCCCCAGCATCTACCCCTCAACCTGGGAGAAAGGTCTTCCTGACCCCTCCTCCCCATGGCATGTCACCTCCTGGCACCCCACCTATGTGTCCCACAAGCACAGAATGGCACAGCATGGCACGGCAGCAGTCATGGGTGCTGGGCAACTCTGGGTGGGCTGGGCTTTGGGAGATCCCCCGTTTTGTCCCTGTCTTCCCAGGAGCATCTCAGCTCTCCACAGCACCCCATGGCCACTGGCCACCCCACAGCACAGCGGGGACACAGCAGAGGGAAAGAACAAGGTCCTGTCTGTTGCTGCCACACTTCACCGGCCTTCAAAAATAAAATTCTTTCCAGTGTCTTCCTCCAGGTCTTCCCCGGAGCTTCAGCTTTCTCCAGGCAAGTGCTGAGAGCTGGGCAAACTCATAAATAAGCTCTCCTGCCAGCTCCACCCGATGCGAGACAGCAGCAGGACCGGGAGCGGGGCTGGGGACCTGCCGGCGCTTCTACATTAGCTTTACATTAATTGCTTTAAACACCCTCTGTGTCCTGCCTGCTGCTGTTTTCCATGGAAAGTTCAGCTCTGTTAACTTTGGCTGGGCCTTGCCACTATTTTTAGGAGCTTTAAAAACACCCGGGGAGGTGCCTGACTATATTCTGCTGGGCCAGGGAGGGATCTTTACCAAAGGGAGAAACATTAATAGAGATAAAAATAATAAAACCCACTCATGTCTGATTCACTTCAGCCACTCTCTGTATCAATGCTGTGTGGATCTCGGGCACGGGGAATGTAACCCATGTAGGATGGCAAAGGAGCTTTGAAGTGGCTGCAAACACGACCGACGTCCAATGCCAGGACAGGGTAAAGCCAGGGCAATGCAGTGCATGGGTAGGCTCGCTATATGCATTCATATACATGCAAATGTATTTTTGCATCTTTCCATACCGGTGCTACAGCACTTGGGTGTCTGCAGCTAGAGCTGTGCATGGTGCCCGCACATCTCTGGCCCCACCGCTGCTCATGCACCCTGCGACCTGCACCTCGACCTGCACGCGGTGTGTTTGCTGCGTGCAGGCAGCGTGCTCCGTGGGCAGCAGCGTGCCTGGTCCCCTTGCTGCCTGCGAGCATGGTGGCAGGGGCTGCGTGCCCACCGCCCCGCTCCCTGCTCATTGGCATGGGCTCAGCCTCCCCAGGTGCACATGGGGCCGCTCCTTACACATCCAGCAGTGCTGAGCTGGCAGGATTGCCATGCAGCGGAGACCTGTCTTGGGACCAGAGGCCACCTCGGAGCCTGCTCAGCCCTGAACTTCACCCTTTGGGGCTGTTCCTTCCAGTTCAGTCCTCCTGGCCTGTCTCCCCCAGCACCCTGGGGTGCCTTGTGTGACACTGGGTGGTTTTTCCCACCCTCCCTGTCCTGGTGCCAGCGTGGGGAGGTGAGTGCTGACAGCCCAGAGCTGGTCTTTGGTGGGGCTTGTGACCCCATCGCAGCTCAGTCCCTGGGGCTGGGCTGGATGGGGGAGAGCGTGCGGTGGCACCTGAAGGGCTCCAGGCCCACTGCCACCCAGGACCAGGACGACTGTGAGCCCCGGGGGCACGTCCGGGGCCTGAGCTGGGGCATCCCACCACATCACCACTCAGCATGTGCCAACAGTGGGTTTGCACAAGCTTGGCCACTCTGGGGCAGATGCCATTGAGGCAGTAATGATCAAGCCCTCCCAAAAGCTGCCCTGTGCTAAATTACAATTCTCTGCTAAAAAACCCACTTTCCTTCCTACAGAGGAGATGGCTGCATTGCTTTCCTTTTAACTGAGAAATCAAAACATCCTCTCTCCTAGCTTTCTCCTTAGGATGAGCTGATACAGGCAGCCTAAAACAGCTCGGCCTCTACCAGGCAGCCAGGAGAATTTCAGGTTGAAAAATTAGTATTTGGCAAAGTTCCTGCTGGCTGGAGGCAGCATCCTGGACCTGCGGGCACAGCCTCCCTGCCTGGGCTGAGACCCCGAATGCTGCCTCTGCTCCCAGGTCCACCAGGCCCCCCCGGCCGGGGCTGAGACCCCGAATGCTGCCTCTGCTCCCAGGTCCACCAGACCCCATCCCAGCTGTGAGCGGGACGCCGGATGGCACAGGAGCTGCTGCCTTCCCCCATCCACCCAGCAGCCGCTGCTGGTTCCCACAGGTCTTCCCAGTGGTACTTACTGGAAGGGATGGCGAAAGGGGGCACGGAGGCTTGCGGGGGACCCCAGCCCTTCATGTTGTAGGCAGACACCTGGACGTAGTAAGCTGTGCCCTGCAAGGGGGGAAGCCACACTCAGCACACCAGCACCTCTCCCAGCTTGGCATGTGAGGGAAGGACTCCACCACGAGGAGTACTAAACTGGGAGCTTGCACCCCGGTTCACTGGCTCTGACCTCCCCCAGCTGTACAAAGCCCTTGTTATCAGACACTAGAGAATCCCCAAGGCCCAGGTGAGTGGTTTCGGCAGGAGGCAGGAGAAGGATGGGACATTGCAAATGCCCCTTGTCAGGAGATGCTCTGGCCCTGAAGACATGGGGCTTCCACAGGGGTGCTGCGTTCCCACTGGGATGTGCAAGGATCCAGCCCCTGGAAACAGGGAGCTGGCCCAACATTGTTGAGGGCTTGTGGCACAGCGACAGTGATTAAAGGCCTCTGATTAAAGCCCAGTCAAGTTGCCAGATGTTGCAAGGCCTCCAGACGCTCATGAAGGCAGACAGAAGCCTGCGAAACAGCTCTGAAAGCATGATTGATGGGCTCAGATCAGCTCCTTGCAGCAGCACTGCTCCAGGCTCTGCTCGAGCCCTGTCCTGCCGTGCACCAGGGCAGCTCTCCCCCCTGACAGTGGCCCTGGGGCTCCAACACCGCTGCCTTGGCTTTCCCCCTCCTCGAGTTGGTGGTCCTTGCCTGCCTGCCTGCCCCAGAGCTTTGGCACTGCACCTCCCTGGTAAGGGCAGCCCCCTTCATCCCAGCATCTGCCCGTGTTCCCATCCCAAGCTCCATCCCACTGCAGTCCCCATCCAGCCCCATCTCCCTCCCACCAGTCCAATGCATGTCGGGGACAGGATGGCAGCCGCCAGGGAGGGGACAGCTGACAGGCAGCATGGCCCCTGCAGTTCTCAGGGAGATAAAACAGCAGGGAGCCCCAGCCCCAACCAGCCCGTGACCTTGCCAAGCTCCCAGAGATGGAGACAGGGCTAGTCCCCCCTCTCCAATGAGCAACGGGGCTGGTGCCAGGGGTCGATCTGTGCAGGTGGCAGAGGAACGAGCTACTGATTTATTGCCCAGGAGGAGCATGGGTGGAGATGGGAGCGGAGTGGGGGACAGAGGATAAATCAGGCAGTCGGTGAATGGGCCCATTCTGCCTTTCACTCGAGAGTCCGCAGGCACCCTGTGCAGGGGGTTTCCCCATCGCCACCGCGGCTGCGGCTGTGCAGAGACAGACGCCTCTCCCGGCCCCACACTCTTCGCTCTGCCCACAGGCTGTGCTGAACATGCCATGCACCGTGGCACAATCCTATTCTTCCTGCTTGAAATGATGCTCCATCCCCTTCCCACGTCGGCTGCAGGGAACGACCCCACGGGCTGCACTATGGCCAGCAGCTTTTCCTGGCTGTGGGCTCTAACCCCGTGGGGCACCCCGAGAGCTCACCGACACCAGCCCGTGGATGGTGAAGTGCAGGTTCTTCAGCTCGCCGGAGCTGGAGGCAGCTGAGCAAAGGCAGGGGAGAGGAGAAGCCACAACGGGGGGGATGGCACGTAGAGCTGCAGTCCTTCTCCCCCAGCCACATCAGACAGGGTCAGCACCCTCAAACAAGGGGTCAGGAGTTGAGGATGGGGGAAATTCTCCCAGAAGCCAAAGATATCTGGTTTCAGTGGGTGAGGGGCATAAGAGCAGCAGGACAGCAAAGCCCCTCTAGTGTGCAGGTTGAGGGGGTGGCAAACAAGTGGCAACCCGAGTTCTGCCTCAGTGCAGGGTAGTGGTTCGGTCCAGTTCAGACCATTTGGGTGGTGGCTGGGCTGTCCAGCAGCATTCAGCCCTGGCTCCTCCTGTGCTGGAGCACAAAGGTGGCTTGACAGGGGCTTGGCAGCACTGCCCACACTCCCAGCAATGCTGCGTGGTGTGCCTGGGCTAAGCACCCCAACACGCGCCGCTGGCACCTGCCATGGCTGCATGTCCGCTGCACTGCTGTGGGGACCCTGGTCCTTACCTTTGTACTTGGTGACGACAGCCGAATTGACGCTTAGAGGCTCCCAAAAGGTCACCTGCACCGAGGAGCTGCTGGCCACGGAGAGGTGGACGTTGGTGGGGGCGTCTGGCACTCCTGGGGACAGAGAGCACAGTGACCACTACAGCAAGGACGGTCACTCTGAACCCCTCAGTGTCCCTGCTGGGCCTCACCCCATGCCCAGGGACATGCTCCCAGAGTGCTCACCCCCCATGCACCCATACAGCAAGCCCTGGCTACAGGGCGTAGGGATCCTCCCCCATGCCTGGACCACACACAGTCCTGTTCCTTCCCCCAGTGCAGTGGCTGCCCCCCAGACAAGCCCTCCTGAGGGCACTCACGGGCATGCTCAAACCCTGCCTTCATGCGCTTGTAAAGCCGGTATCGCCACTCCCAGGCCTTGAGCTGCTTCTCTTTCTCAGAGCAGTCGGTGTTGGGCGCCTCGTTCACCACCTGCGCCGTCAGCTCGTTGACACGCTGCTCCGCTTCCCGCACCAGCGTGGAGAGGTGCAGTGAGCGGCTCTCCAGGCTCATGACTGTGGGGTTGGTGGGCACGGCCATGGGTCCCAAGAGGGGAGCCAGGAAGAGGGAAGAGAAGGCGGTTAGGGCAAGCCCAGGCTCTGCTGACATCAAATTCCCACCGTAAGACCTCCATCCTCCCCTCCATGTCCTGCTCTTGGGCTCCACTCGAGTGCATGGCTCCACTTGAACCCCTGCTACAGCCTGCATCAGTTTCCCAGAGCCCAGTGACCACCTCCCCACCTTGACACTGCCACCTGGGGTGCTCCACTCCACCACGTTGGAGACCCAGGTGATGGGCATGGCTCCCCCACACCTACTCACAGTGTGGGCTCTCCTTGGCTCCTGCCTGCAGCAGGGCCCTAGCGATGGGGGCGTTGTTGGTCATGATGGCGATGTCCAGGGGCAGCAGTCCCTCACTGTTAGGGGTGTTGAGGTCCAGCTCCTCAGGACTGTACTGCTTCAGCAGCTCCTGGACCCTGTCTAGGTCCTGCAGCTCCACGGCCTCGAAGAGGGCAGCATTGCTCTGAAACTGGGTGGATGGAGAAACGCAGGTTGGCTGAGCATGGGGCACCCCCCTCCACCCCACCAAACACCCTAGCCCCTCACCAGCATGCCACAAGCCCAAAAAGGGTGGGCTACCCTGGTCCCAGGTGTTTGGGAGCATCAGCTCTTTGCAGACACAACTGGATGATGCTGAGCAAACACCCGGACCAGCTCCAGCTGAACTTGCTCCAGGGCAGCTTCACTCAGCGCATTCTTAGGCTTCCACCCAGGTGACAGTATCACCCACACACAGACCCTCCATCCCCGTCTTCCCGGCCACAGCAGCGCTGGATGGAGCCAGCGGGCACTGACCAGGTAGGACTTGCGGAGCTTCTCCTTCTCGCCCCGTCCCGCCAGGCTGCTCTCATCGAAGGATGTGTAGTTGACACGGAATTTCCCCGACAAGTTTCGGTAGAGCCTCTTGGCTGCGTTCGGTGAGGAAGGGCCTGGCGGCTTGCTGGCCTGCGCCAGCT